CCATCTCGGCTCACTGCAACTTCAGCCTCTCAGCTTCAAGTGATTCTCCTGCCTCAGCCTGCCAAGTAGCTGGGATTACAGGCATGCACCACCATGCCCGGCTAATTTTGTATTTTTAGTAGAGACGGGGTTTCTCCATGTTGGTCAAGCTGGTCTCGAACTCCCAACTTCAGGTGATCCACCCTCCTAGGCCTCCCAAAGTGCTGGGATTACAGGTGTGAGCCATGACATCTGGCCTCTTTTTTCTTTTTTTCTTTTTTAAGAGATGGGTTATTCCTATGTTGCCTAGGCTGGACTCAAACTCCTAGGCTTAAACAATCTTCTGCCTCACTCTCCAGAGTAGGTGGAACTACAGGCATGAGACAGCATCTTCCTGTCTTTTCGGCCCCTTTAACCCCATCTTTGTCCCTCTGCCCCACCCCTACAGGTTTTGTTATTGTTTTTTTTGTTTGTTTTTTGTTTTTTTTTGAGATGGAGTCTCACACTGGGCCTGGGCTGGAGTGCAGTGGTGCGATCTCGGCTCACTGCAACCCCCTCCCGGGTTCAAGCAATCTTCCTGCATCAGCCTCCCAAGTAGCTGGGATTACAGGCACCCACCACCATGCCCAGTTAATTTTTTTGTATTTTTAGTAGAGACGGGGTTTCACTATGTTGACCAGGCTGGTCTCAAACTCCTGACCTGTGATCCGCCCGCCTTGGCCTCCCAAAATGCTGCTGGGATTACAGGTGTGAGCCACTGTGCCCGGCCTGTTTGTTTTTTGAGACAAGGTCTTGCTGTGTCACCCAGGCTGGAGTGCAGTGGTGCGATCATAGCTCACTGCAGCCTCGACCTCCCAGGCTCAAGCGATCCTCCGGCCTCAGCCTCCTGAGTAGCTGGGACTATAGGTATGCTTCACAAGCCAGGCTAATTGTTGCCCAAGCTGGAGTACAATGGTACGATCTCGGCTCACTGTAACCTCCGCCTCCCAGATTCAAGAGAACTCCTGCCTCAGTCTCTCAAGTAGCTGGGATTACACGCACATGCCACCATGCCCAGCTAATTTTTTTGTGTTTTTAGTAGAGACGGGGTTTCACCATGTTGGTCAGGCTGGTCTCGAACTCCTGACCTCAGGTGATCCACCCGTCACAGCCTCCCAAAGTGCTGGCATTACAGGCGTGAGCCACTGAGCCCAGCTCCTTTGTCCACCTTGGTTGAATGTCAGGGGTATTTGTCTCCTACCACACTAGAAACTTCCTGCAGACAAACTCCTGAGCTGAATCTTCTTTGGGGCCCTAACACCCATCTGGACAGGTCAGAGGACAGGCAGTGAATGTTTGCATGAGTGACAGAGGCACTGAGTATGTACCCATGTGTCATGTGTGTTTCTGCTCACCTTCTCCATGCTCGTCTGTGTACTGGAAGGCCTGGACCAGCCGCAGAGCCTCATCCACGGAGCGTCCCACAGGCAAATCATTAACAGTGATCTGGCGAAGGACACCCTTGCCATCGATGATAAATAGGCCCCTGAAGACATCAGGGTTCCCAGTAAGGAGCTGGGAGCTCCCACTGCCAGAGACAAGGAAGGGACTACCAACCACCCGCTGCTAGCCACAGGGCTGGGGGCAGAGAAGACATTGTACAGGAGTGGTTCCAGCTCCACAGGAATGGGGGGTCTCCATGAGCCGGGCTGAGGGTCCCACAGTACCTGTAGGCAATGCCTTCGTCTGTTTTCAGCACGCCGTAATCCTCAGACAAGCGTCTGGTCACGTCAGCAAGCAGGGGGATGTTCAGGGGGCCCAAGCCTCCTTCCTTCCGGGGGGTGTTGATCCTGGGAGTAGAGGAGATAGAGTTGGGGCCTCAGGATGCCTGGTACAGCCGGGTCCTCACCCTGTGGGCCCAATGTGATAAGCACTGGAGGCCAAAGATAAGGGTCTTTAAAGTAGGCTGCTGGGAGCCTCACCCACCCCACCCTGGGTTGGGTACAGGGACTTCCCACAGCTGGGAAGACTAAGCTTGAGAGGCCACGCTCCAGCTAAGTGGCTTCACATGTGCTTGTAACTTGCAGCATCACCCAGGAGAGAGCCCGTGTTAACAGTCCCCCTCCTCCTCTAGCTGTGTCATGGGGTACAGCTCTTCACTTAGGTGAACCCAAGTTTCCATCTTTATGAAATAGGGCAGCACAGCCTCCCTCCTGGGAACTAGTAGATAGAGCAGATAAAGTTGCATCTGAGTTGCATCTGCAACTCTATGTGCCAAACAACTAGCTCAACTAGCTGCCAAATGCTAATTACTGCCATCCTTAAAAACTTGGGCGGCAATATTTCCATTATTTTCAAGATGGGGAAACGCAGGTTCCAGAGATTGAGCAATGGTCATGAAGCCACACAGCTCGGACCCGAGGGTGTGAGCTTAGCTGCAACCTCCTCTGGCCCCTGCTCATACCAAGCCAGGTGGGTGAACTGAGAGTCCACCGAGACGCCCAGCACTTCGCAGCCCAGCTTGCGGAAGTCCTCGGCACGGTTGCTGAACGCGATGATCTCCGTGGGGCACACAAAAGTGAAGTCCAGAGGGTAGAAAAAGAGGACCACGTACTTCCCTGGGGAGGAGGGACCAAGAGGAGTTAGGGCCCAGCCTCTCTCATGCACGGCCCCGCTTCTGCTTCTACCTGGGTCCGCTCCGGGCTGCGCTCACCTTTGTAGTCCGACAGCTTCACCTCTTTGAAGGCGCCGTCAACCACGGCTGTGGCCTTGAAGTCAGGGGCTGGCTTTCCGATGCGCGCGTTACCGGAGGCCATGACTGAAAGCTGAGACCCCTGTCCGGTCAGTGCGCCCGGGAAGACCCTTTGTCCTCCCACCCCAAGGTCGCGCTGCGTGCTGGGCCCTGTGACTGAGTCAGCACGGCGGAGGCGACAGCACCAACCCTCACCCTCCCGGGTACCGGGTCTGCGAAGCCAAGAGGCTGCCGGAGACCCGCCCTCCTGACCAGAGCACGAGTGACCCAGCCACTGCCACTAGCACCCCACGAGCGAGTGGGCCGGAGCGCGGCGTCGCAAGCCCCAAGTCCAGAAGGAGACAGTGAGGCCCCCTCGAGCAGGGGGCGGGGAACAGGGCGATCGGGCCTGCACTGCAAGGCTGTGGCCTCGGTTTCCCCCGCAAGGACAAAGGAGGCCACTACAGCGGATGGAAAACAAAGGCGGCCAGCACTGAGGTCAGGATCCGGCCAAAGCAGCTTGAAGGGGGTCCTCCCGCCAGGTGCACTCTGTGTGTCTATACCTGCGTGGGCAAGGGCTAGACGCACGGACGATCACACGCGTGGACCCGCGTTCTCAGCGCCAAGTGAGCCCTGGGCCGCGGAGCCTTTTATGCCCGGCCCGAACCAAGACGTGCGCTGCGCAGGGGAGGGAGCAAACGAGCGGAGCGGTCGGGTCCACTGCACCCTCAGGTGCGGGGGAGCGTGCGGCCGGGTCCATGCGCCTGCGGGAGCCGGGGGGAGACGTGTTGCCTTCGGCCGGGACCACTGCACCGGCTCGCGGGGGTAATGCGGCCGCCGCAGACTCCGCGCACAACTCTGCCTGCGAGCGTGCTGGGTGCCGTTGGAGTCGGGCATGGCCCGGACCCCGGCGGCGCTGCTGCTGGGGCCTCTGCTACTCCTGCCGCTGGCGACCCCTGCCCAGGTCTACCAGGACTATCAGTACTTCGGCCAGCAGGGCGAAGGTGACACCTGGGAGCAGCTGAGGCTGCAGCATCTAAAGGGTAACCTCAGGCGGCGGGGGTGACGATGTCCATAGGCTCCCCGTTGCCCTACTTCTCCTGCTGGCTGCAAAGGGACCTTCCTCCGCGGGCTGCAAATCTCCACCCAGCTCTGCACTGGAGGCGTTCCCTTGGGCTGGTTACTGTTCTCTGAGGCTCGGTTTACTCTTGGATACGTTGAAATAGATACTGCTTTAAAGCAGCTCCCAGGGGAAGAGGGTGTGGGTAGGACATTGAAGCTGTCACTCGGGGATAGGTGCCAGGAAGGGCAGAAGCAGAGAAAGAAGGGGGCGGGCAAGCTTGGGAAGTCAGAGAGGGTCCGGTTGCAGAAGACCCGTGACCAGTGCAGCGAGAACGACAAGCGAAAACCCCAAATGGAAAGATTTGGGGAAAGAATGTCCAAGAAAGAGGGAATAGCAAGTGCCAAGGTGAAAAGGCCTAAAGGAGAAATGGGAAGAGGTCGGTGAGATGTGGCAGAGTGGGTGTGGGAGGATAGCAGGTGTCAGATCTTGGTGAGCCGCGAGTTGGGATAAGATCGGACTTGGAGGCCTGGCGCGATGGCTCAAGCCTGTAATCCCAGCACTTTGGGAGGCCGAGACGGGCGGATCACGAGGTCAGGAGATCGAGACCATCCTGGCTAACACGGTGAAACCCCGTCTCTACTGAAAAACACAAAAAAACTAGCCGGGCGAGGTGGCGGGCGCCTGTAGTCCCAGCTACTTGGGAGGCTGAGGCGGAAGAATGGCGTAAACCCAGGAGGCGGAGCTTGCAGTGAGCTGAGATCAGGCCACTGCACTCCAGCCTGGGCGACAGAGCGAGACTCCGTCCAAAAAAAAAAAAAAAAAGATCGGAGTTGGGATAAGATCTGTCTCATAGGGGAAAGGGTCAGATTCAGTAAAGAGCCCTTTGAAGTGATCATAGTGGCCGGCGAGGTAGCTCACACCTGTAACCCGAGCACTTTGGGAGGCTGAGGTGGGAGGATCCCTTGGTCTCAGAGACCAGTCTAGCCTGGCCCACATAGCAAGACTCCGTCTTTACAAAAAAGATTTTAAAATTAGCCTGACCTGATGGCCTAGCACTTTGGGAGGCCGAGGCGGAAGGACTGCTTGAGCCCAGGAGTTCAAGACCAGCCTAGGCAACATGGAGAGACCCCCTTCTCTACAAAAATAAATAAATAAATAAAAACAAAAAATAAATTAGCCTGCCATGGTGGCATGAGCCTGTCCCAGCTACTCAAGAGGCTGATACAGGAGGACCATTTGTGCCAAGGAATTTGAGGCTGCAGTGAGCCATGATTACGCCCTTACATTCCAACCTGGGTAACAGAGCAAGATCCTGTCTCAAAAAATAAAAATAAAAATAAAAAATAAAAAATAAACCTGATCATAAAAATTTGGTTTGTATATGCTAGCGCAGCACCAGGAGATTTACTTACCTTCATTCTGTCAATTATGCCATTTATCACTTGATAGCCCTGCTGGTCAGTTGGCATTGTGCCTGCTTCAGGGCCATGGTCACAACCCTGAAGACAGAAGTCAGCATCAGATGGCGGGCACCAAGGATGTTATAGGACACTCACAACTGTGCAGGCTGACACAGCCTGAAAGTGTCAGGTTGTAGTTCCTCTGAGCCACTTACCCTGTGTATGAGCTTGGAAGGTTGGCTTTCTGTCTCTTGGTTTCCCCACCTGAGACTCATGGAAAGATTAAATGAGGCCAGACATGGTGGCCGGCTCACACCTGTAATCCCAGCACTTTGGGAGACTGAGATGGGAGTATCACTTGAGCCCAGGAGTTCCAGACCAGCCTGGGCAACATGGTGAAGCACCGTCTCTGCAAAAAATTAGCCAGGCATGGTGGCATGTGCCTGTAGTTCTAGCTACTTGGGAGGCTAAGGTAGGAGGATTGCTTGAGCCCAGGAAGTTGAGGCTGCAGTGAGCTGTGACTGTGCCACTGCACTCCAGCCTGGGCGACAGAGCGAGACCCTGTCTCAAAAAAAAAAAAAAAAAAAAATTAAATGAGATAGTCCACGGGGGAGTGTCTGGCATAGAGGCAGAGTCTAGCGAATATGCGCTTCTCTTATTTGTTAGTATCTTTATCTTTCTTCCTCTCTGGGGGAGGGGATTGGGAGTAGGCCGCCTCCACGTAGGTCTTCACCTCTGCCCTCCTTCTCTAGAAGTCGAGGACTCAATCCTTGGCCCGTGGGGAAAGTGGCGGTGTCTCTGCGACCTGGGCAAGCAGGAGCGCAGCCGCGAGGTAGTCGGCACAGCGCCAGGCCCAGTTTTCATGGACCCGGAGAACCTGATCCAGTTAGGACCCTGCCGGCAACGGGATTGTCCATCCTGCAAGCCCTTCGACTGCGACTGGAGGCTCTGAGCCCGAGTGAGAGAGGGGCCCAGAGGACGCCGGGCCGGGGCAAGCCGCGGGGCCCAGGGTGGGCGCGGAGGGAGGACGTGCGGTGCGTGGCGGGTATGAAGTGAGTTTGGGGAAGAGAGAACTGGGGCTCCAAGTCATGAGTGACTTGAAGCTGATATGGTTAGGCGGAAGCTGAGTCAGGAGCCGAGAGCCCCGCTGATATCTAGGGAGAAAGGCAGAAAAATGGAGGGGGCGCTGGGCGCTAGGACTCACGCCTGTAATTCCAGCATTTTGGAAGGCCAAGACAGGCGCATCTCTTGAGTCCAGGAGTTCAAGACCAGTCTGGGCAATATAGTTGAGATCATCTCTCCATAAAAATTTTAAAAATTAGACGAGCGTGGCGGCACTTGCCTGTGGTCCCAGCTACTTGGTAGGATGGGGAGGGAGGATCGCTTGAGCCTGGGAGGCAAAGGTTACAGTGAGCCGAGATCGCTACACTGCTATCCAGCCTGGGAAACAGAGTAACACCCTGTCTTTAAAAAAAAAAAAAAAAAAAAAAAAGTGGAGGGGAAGGCGCAGAGGAATAAAAAAGGAGATAAAAAGACAATGAACTAGGACCCTGAGGAAGGGGCATGAGCCTGGTAAGGGGCGGGAACCCACAGGCAGAGGACATAAGCCCCAGTGAGTCCAGGGAATAGAAGAAGTGTGGAGGCCAGGCACTCTGGCTCAGGCTTGTAATCCCAACACTTTGGGAGGCGGAGGCGGCCAGATCACTTGAGCCCAGGAGTTTGAAGCCAGTCTGGGCAACATAGTGAGACCCCGTCTCTATAAAAAATACCAAAAATAGTTGGGCATGGTGGTGTGGTGTGCACCTGTAGTCCAGCTGCTTGGGAGACGGAGGTGGGAGGGTCGCGTCAGCCCAGGAGGTGGAGGTTGCAGTGAGCCAATATCGCACCACTGCACTCCAGCCTGGGCAACAGAGAGAGACCCTGTCTAAAAAAAAAAAGGGGGGGTGTCCGGGTGGGGGGGGACATTCATTCTAAGTTAGGAGGAATGAGCTTCTATATAGTGGGCAGAGACCCTGAGCAGGAGTCCACTGAGGTCTGTGATCTCCAATGGGAGTGGGGAAGGCTTGGCCTGAATGAGAGAGAGGGTAGGAAGCACAGATCTTGCAGGGAGTGGGGGTGGGCTGAAGGCAGCAACCAAGAGAGGGAGTTTGGGGACTCCAAATCCAAAAGCCTGAGTTTAGTGGAAGCGGGGCTACCTGGTTCAGGTGACTTAGAATGTGTACAGAAGAAGGGACTGCGAGTACAGGGCCTGAATCCAGGTGGAAGTCGGGGACGCAGTGATGCGGGGACCCGTGTCCTGGGACAGGGGTGATATTTGACCCTCTAGTTCCCCATTAGGCTGGGTCTTCGAAGCTGCGTCTCAGTTTCCCTTTTATTTCCCCTTTTTCCCACCGGCCAACGCAGGCGGGGCCCCAGAGACCGTGAAGCAGAGCTTGCAAAGTGACCCGGTCCACCGAATTCCCCACGCTGAGTGTTCGGCCACAGTCCTTCGGGACTACAATTCCCAGAAGGGCGCACGGCAGCGGCGTCGGCGTCGGCTGCGTAAGCGTCCACGGCCGTGGGAGCGACAGGGGCGTGTTCTGCCCGGGGATTGGCCGGAAACAGGCGCCGCTGCAAGGCCCGCGGAAAACGCGCGCCGAGACCCGCTCTCGCAGTGTTAGTTCTTGCAGCTGGTGGCGGCGGCCGAGGCGGCATGGATCTCAGCGAGCTGGAGAGAGACAACACGGGCCGCTGTCGCCTGAGTTCTCCTGTGCCCGCGGCGTGCCGCAAGGAGCCTTGCGTCCTGGGCGTCGATGAGGCGGGCAGGGGCCCCGTCCTGGGTGCGCACCTAGGGCCAGGGAGGGGAGGGGCGTGGTACGGGGGATGCGGGAAACGGGAGTCGGGATTGCACCGCACCAGGAGAGGGGATGTGGTCGTGGTGATGGCACCCAAAGAAGCAGTGATGGTAGAACAGGGATGGATGGCAACTTTCACGGGCTCAGTGATTGGACCCCGGCTGCGAGAAAACTGACACCCCTTCTCCCCAGGCCCCATGGTCTACGCCATCTGTTATTGTCCCCTGTCCCACCTGGCAGATCTGGAGGCCCTGAAAGTGGCAGGTAAGCCCGAGGTGTGCGTCTGGGGAAGGGATTCCTGAGTATGTGCAGGGGCAGGTGAGAACTGAAAGGGGAGGACAGGAACTGGGAGAAGCAGCTGTTCCCCTTCTCTTCCAAACCTTCCAGACTCAAAGACCCTATTGGAGAGCGAGCGGGAAAGGCTCTTTGCAAAAATGGAGGAGAACAGGGACTTTGTCGGCTGGGCGCTGGACGTGCTATCTCCAAACCTCATCTCTACCAGCATGCTTGGGCGGTGAGGGGTACCCGGGGGCGGCTGTGGGAGAGGGGCAGCCAGCATGGGCTGACTGGGCTTTCTTCCTAGAATGAGGTTAACTGGGCTCTGTTCCCCACCACAGAGTCAAATACAACCTGAACTCCCTGTCACATGATACAGCCACTGGGCTTATACAGTATGCATTGGACCAGGGCGTGAACGTCACCCAGGTGAGTTAAGTGTTGAGTTGTCCCCATTTGGTCATCGCAGGATAAACTGGCGACAAAACAGGAGTTCTAGACTGCAGTGAGCCATGATCATGCCACAGCACTCCATCTTGGGTGACAAAGAAAGACCCCCGGGCCTCAAACCAAAAGAATAAAAATGGAGAGGGCCGAGGCCAGTGGCTCACGCCCCATATAATCGCAGCACTTTGGGAGGCCCAGCGGGTAGATCACCGGAGGTCAAGAGTTCGAGACCAGCCTGACAACATGGTGAAACCCCGTTCTCTACTAAAATACAAAAATTAGCTGGACGTGGTGGTGGGTGCCTGTAATCCTAGCTACTCAGGAGGGGCTAAGCAGGAGAATCGCTTGAACCAGGAGGCAGAAGTTGCAGTGAGCCAAGATTGTGCTATGCACTCCAACCTGGGCAACAGAGTGAGACTGTCTCAAAAATAATATAATAAATAAAATAACTAAAAATGGGATGCTAGGTCACCGGTGGCCTCAAGGCCTTGTGATCCAGGGTGCTGTTGGAGGCCTGAGCTCTGACGTACCGCCTCGCGTGGGCAGATCATCCTCGGATGGGTCAGGAGGTGAAGACCTATCTGGCCACGCATGGATGAAACCCCGTCTCTACCGAATTGGCTTGAACTGGAGGCGGAGCGTTGTAGTGAGCCTGGAGCATCGTGCCATTGCCCCACTCCAGCCTTGGGGGACACAGCAAAAGATAAAAATAAAAGAAGTCAATGGTGGCGGGCAAAAACGTGCAGTGGGCAGATTCAGCATCAGATGTCTGGGGAGTGCCTCAGGCGCATATTCCGTTGCCTACTGCTGATTTCGTGGCCTCCTAGTTTTCTGCCCTTAAATAGGTTTTTTTTGTGCCACACTGCAGGCCAGTGTAGCCCTGCCGGCCGATCCGCCGCCCCCATCTAATCTCTCCCTCATCCTAAAGGCTCAGTCTGCAGAACAAATCCCACATGTGTCTCCCTGCTACCTCTGTCCTAGCCCAGGACACCCCCCACACCCTGAACACCTGCTAAGCATCGTCTCTCATCCCCCACCCTCCTGTCCCCTCCAATCTGTTCCCCATGCAGCAACAGAAGGTAGTCTTTTTGAAATGCACATCTCCTGTGGCTCACACCTGTAATCTCAGCACTTTGGGAGGCCCAGACGGGCGGATCACGAGGTCAGGAGATGGAGACCATCCTGGCTAACACTGTGAAACCCCGTCTCTACTAAAAATACAAAAAATTAGCTGGGCGTGGTGGCAGGTGCCTGTAGTCCCAGCTATTCGGGAGGCTGAGGCAGGAGAATGGCGTGAACCTGGGAGGTGGAGTTTGCAGTGAGCCGAGATCGCGCCACTGCACTCCAGCCTAGGCAACAGAGCGAGACTCCGTCTCAAAAAAAAAAAAAAAAGCACATCTCAACATTTAGTTTTCCGATCACAGTGGAAATTAAATCAGAAAAATTTACAGTCGAGTGGGGGAGAATTACATTAAATTACCAGAGAAAAACATAAATCAGCATTGCCTCGAATGCTCTCAGTGAAAGAACGGACCATTTTGAGAGAATAACAAGGCAAAATAACCTCGACGTAGGAATTGTATGCTGGGTGTGGTGGCTTATGCCTGTAATCCCAGCACTTTGGGAAGCTGAGGTGAGCAAATTGGTTGAGGCCAGGAGTTCCAGACTAGCCTGGGCAACATAGCAAGACCCCATCTCTACAAGAAGAAGAAAGAAAGGAATTATAGCAAGGTAGGCCTTGCTGAGGAGGGACCTGAGGATCAGGTCCAAATGCAGAGCTGGCGATGCAGTAACTGGCATAGACAGACAAGGGACCTGCCCGTGGGGGTTCAGGGCCTAGCCTGGGCAGAAAAACCTCTTAAGCCTTATTCCCACCACGTACACTTAGCTAATTTTTTATTTCTTTGGTTAGAAACATTGGTCCCTCCATTATTTGTCCAGGTTGGTTCTCGAACCCACCGGCCCTCAGCTATTCCTCCCGGCTTTTGGCTTCTTTAACGTGTTGGGATTTACCAAGTCGTGGCCACTCACTCTTACCACTTTTTTTTTTTTTTTTTTTTTTTTTGAGACGGAGTCTGGCTCTGTCGCCCGGCTGGGGCGAGTGGACCGGATTCTCGGGCTCACTGGCAGCTTCCGCTCGGTCCCCCATTCTCTTGCTCAGCCTTCCCGAGTAGCTGGGCTACCAGGCGCCCGCCACCTCGCCCCCGGCTTTTTTTTTTGTATTTTTTTAGCTAGCAGTCGGGGTTTTTTCAACGTGTCAGCCAGGGATGGTCTCGATTTCTGGGACCTCGGTGATCCGCCCGCTCGGCCTCCAAAGAGGTGCTTTGGGCTTACAGGCTTGGAGCACCCGCGGCTTGGCCT